GAATACTGAAAACACTATATATCAGAACCAATGAAATAAAAAAATCTTAAAAAAAAAAAACATTCATACTGGATTTTTAGGTGAATTGGAAAACTTGTGTGATAAAGGAGACCACAAAATAAATTAGTTTCTAGCATTCTTCAGTATTAGGTTATTTGAAGCTTTGTACCTTAAGTTTGTTATTGCCCAAACTAAGAACATTGATAATTACAAAGTATTTAAAGATCCTAGGGAAGAATCCCTATATTGTACGCCTGAAATAAATATAACACTATATGTTAACTATACTGGATTTTATTTTATTTATTTATTTATTTTTTAAGATCTTATTTATTTATTTCATAGAGAGAGTGAGAGAAAGAGAGCATGAGAGGGGGGAGGGTGAGAGGGAGAAGCAGACTCCCTGCCAAGCAGGGAGCCCAGTGTGGGACTGGATCCCGGGACTCCAGGATCATGACCTGAGCCGAAGGCAGTCGCTTAACCAACTGAGCCACCCAGGCGCCCTTTATTTATTTTTTTAAAGAGCGTGCACGCACACAACGTGGCACAGGGAAGGGAGAGGGGCAGAGGGATAGGGAGAGAGAGAATCCCAAGCAGGCTCCACGCCCAGTGCAGAGCCCAAAGCAGGGCTCGAACTCATGACCGTGAGATCATGACCTGAGCCAAAATCAGTAGTCAGACGCTTGACTGACTGAGCCACCTGGGCACCCCAACTATACTGGATTTTAAATTAAAAAATAAGTAAATAAAGGATCCTAGGGAAAAGTACTATATATACACCATCTTATTTTTGTAGTTGTTATTAGCAAATGTGTGTGGGCAGCAGCTATTCAGGTAGACCCTTTGTAGAGAAATACTACACTAGTCAATCAAGTATCCTTTTTTCAGAGTGTTTTTAAATGTTTGTAGTATAAACAGGTAATCAGATGAAGATGAAAGATTACTATCCCTAAAGAAGGATAATGGTGGGAGAAAGCAGAAGAGGAACCCCAGCATCTAACATTGAATTGTGTCTCTGAAAACCTAAATCTTTCCTAAAATTTTAAATATTGTCACTATTGCTCAGGAAAGGTTACAAAGCAGAAATTCTTATTAAATCACTCCTGCTTTACTTTCCATTTTTCTTCCTGATGCCACTTTTCTAGCCTCGTTTTTTCCTTTTTAAAATTTTCTTTCTCCTTTCATTTTTACTTTTTTGTGTGGTACTTTTCCAGTGTTGACTAAAGGAAAGATAATGGCATAATGATCCCTGTGCACCTTTCATTCAACTAGCGACACAACATTTTCCTAATCTTGTTTCACCTCGCTCTCTCTCTGAATCATACTTTTTTCCCCCCTCTGGAGTATTTAAAGCATTTCCCCTGAACATACTTAGATGTATGCATCCTTGGGTGATAAGGATTTTTCAAGAACATGATTGTCATGCCGTTAACACAGCCACCAAAATTAACAGTAATTCCTTTCTGTCAGGTCTGTCATCCAATTTTACTGTTGTTGCAAATGTGCCTTTTTTTTTTTTCTTTACTGTTTGTTTTTAACAGGACCCAAACATTCCTTCATCTGTGTTCGAAGTCTGTCTCCTTCCAGTTTTGTGTTTTGGAGGGTGGGGCACTGTGCCATTTATGTTGAGGAGGAAATGAGTCCTATTATGGATTTGACTGATTCCTTCCTCTTGGTATCATGTAGCTTGCTCCCCTGTCCCCCTTATTTCCTTCATACCCACAGTTACATTTTGAGACTTGATTAGATTCAAGTTCGTTATTTTAAATAACATTTCATAGGTGGTGCTCTAGGTTTCCTATTATATGATATTATTGAGGCATTTAATTAATGGTTATCTATTGTTTAGTGATATTTGGATTTGACCATTGATACCATTCGGGTGGTTTCAGCCTGACTCAGTTTGATGTAAGATTCCCTGTTAAACTTTAACTTAGGTTTTAGCACCCACTGATGGTCATTACTTACATCCATTATTCCACTAGGAAATAGGAATTTTCAGGGCACCTGGGTGTCTCAGTAGGTTAAGTGTCTGGCTCTCGATCTCAGCTCAGGTCATGATCTCAGGGTCATGAGTCCAAGTCCCACATTGGAGCCTACTTTAAAAAAGGGCAGGGGGACAGGAATTTTCTATTCTGATATTGCACCTGCATTTGTTATCTGGAATTCTATACAGAAGAACCTTTTCTCCTCTTCTCTTTGATTGCTTCTTGAATTATTTGAGTAGGCCGAGGTGTTTATCATGAGAATGACCCCGTTTTCTCTTCATGTATAAAAACTCCCCTTTCTGTCTGAGACCTACATCCCTCTCTCTCTCCCAGATTGCATCAGGATCAAATGTTAGGACACTGTCGTTCCTTCCTCCTCTCTGCACCCACCTCACGTGCAGATCAGCTTTTATTTGTTCACGTAGGAAGAATCCTTTCGTTTCCATCCTTTGCATTCTTAAGCTATACTGTCTAAAACGTGGGATAGTTTATCAGTTTGCATGGCATATGATTACACCAGGAAGTTTGTCGTAAATGTCTAACCTCACAGGAGCTCTTACGGGGAACAGCGCAAGGAACTTTTTTGTATCACTTGCTTCTTACACAGACAGTACAGAGAGACTGTTTTGAGTAATAGTAGAATGTAGTACATTGTCTCCATCTTAGTCACGTGTACTGCATACTAGTAATTGATAATGTCCTTCAGTGGAATTGTGCTTTTATGTATAACACTTAACTCCTAACCATACAGTCTGTTTGAAGCGTTTCATGACTTAGGGAAAATAATAGAACTGGAAAGCCAGACTGTGGGATGGTTTGTTCTAAAACATGGATGCTCATCATTGTAGTGCAGGAGGGAGTGTTTTTTTGACTTCATTTGACTACTGTTTTATAATATGGCTTAAAACTTTTAAAGCAGTGTTTCGGGAGAATGTGTACATCGTTTAATGACTGGTTTTGGTTTCCTAGAATTCTTTGCTGAACTGGATAAAGTGATGGGCCCTCTCATCTTTAACGCGAGCATCATGACAGACCTAGTTCGATACACCCGGCAGGGACTGCACTGGCTTCGCCAGGACGCCAAGCTGGTAGCTTGAACTGAACACATCCTCGTTGCCTCTGATTTTCTCCACAACACTGTGTCACGTCACGAAGGAAAACTGCCATAACATGCCACCTAGTCGACACTAAGAATGAGGAATGGTTTTCTCCTCCCTGGTTCATGTGGTGTTGTTATTTATAACCCAAAGCCATGATGTCAGGTGACCCCTTTAATATTCCCAATATGAAAAGTTATTTAAGTGTTTTTAAATCTGCAGCACATGGATAAGACGGTTTTAGTGATCTGGAAGAAGATTGAAATTCCAATTGCAATTCATAACTAATCAATTGAAATTGTATTTATTTTAATTTTTTTAAGTTCCCAGATTGGGGTTAGTTTAAAACTTCGTTATTTCTGCCTATAAATTTACTCTGTTGAACATTTAGCGTAAATTTAAGGTAGGCATTTTTATTTATATACTTGGGGAGCTTTGTTACCTAATGTCTTTTTGTGGTAGCTCTTCTGAGAGTAAGAGTTGGTTCATCTAGATTATGGACATGTTCTTTCTGTACCTGCTACCTGATATTATTTTAAATCTTAACTACAATTTTATTGCAGAATTTACGCTTAGTATTAAGGATATTCTTCTACACATGAAAAATCATTTAAATATGAGAAGATGGCATTCTACAGATAGAAGATGAAATGTGTCTGATTTGGTGTGCATTATTTCAAGAACTGTGAATGTGTGTTAATAACACTATAACAATCACAAGGTGACTATAGCTTGCATTTAATGCATTACAAAAGAGGGCAGGCAAACTTTCTAGGAGAAGGGTATCATGTGAAGAGTTTCATAAAAGGACAATCTTGAACTTCATGGATTTGATTAAAACCATGTGTTCTTTTTTGTTGCTAATAATTTGACGATTAATTGAAATAGTAAGTTACTGTGGAACAAAGAATGATCCACCTCCTGAGGGTTGCTGCCTATATCTCTTTCAGTGACTTCAGAATTCTTATTTGTAAAATGTTTTTGCCACACTAGATTGTGATGCTCTCCTGGGAGCATGTAGTGACTGATGCGGGAATGGGCTGGAGCTTTGCTGTGGGTGCTTTTGCTATACAATTTAAGGTTATAATGCCTGAGGTAGAGATGAAGTTCTCCTTTTAAACTTGTCTTGTACTGATTCCCTTTGTATTATGAAGGCCCTCACCAATGATTTATGTTTCTGATGGGATCAGAAAATTCACACTAGAAAAGTACCTAATTTGGTTCAATGTTAGCCCCCGTGGGAAGGGAAGGGGAGCAAGGGTAGAGCTTAAGCCAGCTCTGTAAGAGTTGTATATCAAAGTACCTTTCCCTGTAAGGTGCACATCGGAGTCAAAGGTGAGAAATGTACCCTCTATCATGCCCCTATCATGTCTGGTGTGCCTTAAATCTTACCTTTGAATGAAAACTCTATGGATTGTTTACAGATGAAGTTTTACACTAGGACCAGATCACCCAGTATGGCTGGTCTTTGGCAGTAGTCACGTTAAATTCTCTTTCTTTTTTAATCTTCCTTTAGGGTCACATAAAGATGAATTTATTTCAGAAAAGCTAACGCTTTGGTACATGACTTAGTCTAACTGGGTAATGGCTGCTCCAAAAAAATTGTTTGTCATTCTCCCCATTCCAAAAATGAATTCATCCAATCAGAAAAAAGGATTGCCCTGCTCTTTATAGATGATTGCTAAGGTTTGAAGTGGGAAAGAAAGGATAGAAAATCTCCCAAGCCCAGTGGTGCAGTGAATCCTCTGTATTTGAGCTTTTTTTACGCTTATTTCTGAAGCTAGTGAACCTTCGTTGCCCTGTGGCTTCATATTTACAGAGCTTTTGAACTGTTCTCTACCTCAGGTTGTTTTTGCAATTCGCTGGGGATTGGAATCTAGAAATTATGCTGAATTTAATCTTTTTCTCGGAGAAATTGCTTCTGAAATCTTTCTAACTTAATCTTATTAGTATGTTATCCTATGTTTTAGGAACAGTTTTCCTTTCGAGGACAACTTCTCAGTGATTAGGGTAGTTATTTGGTAAGAAACTTGCCCCTGTTAATCAAGTAGAGGTATGTCCTGTCCTCTGATTGCTCTTACTCTGATTCCTTACTTGGCAGTGAAGTCTTAGAAGTGGATAAAGCTTTCACGGCAGCCCGTGGGGCACCTCTGAGTTCCAGTGCATTCTGATCTCTTGTGTGTCCTGAAAGGCAGCAGGAGTGTTTCTGGGGTCACACTGATATTTTGTTAAAACATAGTTTCCTGCATGTTTTATGGTGCTGTTCTAAGTTAATTCTCTCTCTGAAACTGTGTTAATTCTTTGGAAATGAATTTTTCAAGCTTTTCAGTGTGGGCAGGGATTTTCCCACCAGGTGGTAATGGGCAATGGATCAAAATCCTGTCCTAAATAATTGAATTTTCAGTGTCATAGTCTGTGGAAACACACACTCCCTTTCCTCTGTGTCCATCTCCTCAAAAGTTGTCTGTGTCTTCATCTGCTCCAGCACATACTTTGGACTCCCTTTTTGGCCACCATTCCTCCTTCCTCAATAGGTGTCTTCAGTGTTCTCTAACCATTTAAAACTGAATTTGACAAGTGGCTAAAAACTGACTTCGTCTGAGACTTGTACTTAATATATAGTTAATTATAGATATAGCAACTCTTTAAAAAAATCACTCTGTCGACTGCTTCTTAAGACCACATTGTATGCCAGGAGGCAGCAGCCTACACCCCCGGTCTCTTCACGGGCAGCCGGTGAACAGTGGATGAGGTTGTCACGTGGTGGTTTTGCCCGGCCTGGGCTGGGCTGTGGGGAGCTCTCGCCTCCCAAGTGATTCATCTGCCGCAGTCCAGCCCGGGTCCGGTCTGGCTGGGGAGCATTCAGCCCGTTTCTTGCCTCAGTGCCACCTTTTCCTGAGCAAGTAGCCAAGAACTAACTTTATAAGCAGTGAGTACTCCAGATAAATCTTCAGCTGTAGTTGCTGAGGAGTGGAGAAGGCTGACCATCACGATTTAATTCTCCATTGCACAAGCAGTGTAGAGTAATGTGTGCACGTGCCCACACATGCCTGTGCTCTGGCTGGCTCCCCTGCTGCTGGATCCCTGGCGTCTGGGCCGCACTTTGCATTCACTTGTGGCTTTACTAGATTCACTGTTGTTGTTGTTTTTAATTGTTGTTTGTTTCTTTTTATTAAAGAAAGGTTTAATCAGCTAAATCAGACAAGCATCATTTTGTATTTAATGACAGAAACTTTGGGAACTTCTCTTCATTGAGTGAGCTTGCATTGTGAAGCAAGTACCTACAGAAGGCACCTGCTCTAAGTGAAAGGTCTGGTTCTGGAGGCCGGCAGCGCTCTGGAGTTGAAGGGCAGCCAGTGGTCGCTCCAGTCAGTGAGTCAGTGATGCCTAGTTGTGTAGAGGGGAGGTACACTGTGCACTCTTCTAGGTGTGAGGGTATGCAGCTTTGGATTTTAAAATTATGTACACATACACACTTTATATATATGTATGTATGTATGAAAACATGAAATTAGTTTGTCAAAAATGTGTGTGTTTAGTATTTTAGCTTAGTGCAACTATTTCCACATTATTTATTAAATTGATCTAAGACACTTTCTTGTTGACACCTTGAATATTAATGTTCAGGGGTGCAATGTGTATTCCTTTTAGATTGTTAAAGCTTAATTACTATGATTTGTAGTAAATTAACTTTTAAAATATATTTGAGCCCTTCTGTAGTATAATAGGGCTCTTACAGGGTGGGAAGGATTTTAATTTTCCAGTTGCTAATTGAATAAAATGGCCTCATTATGTATTTTGAATTATAGGAGTTTGCCTCTGGGTCCCAGGAACATCTAATGGGAATGACTGTTTTAGGCAGATTGTGATGATTTTTTTTTTTTTTTAAGCTAATTAAATTGGGAAGCAAAGCATTTCACATCCATGTAGACTCCTATCACCCATATTCTCTAATTATGTGGAGCACAGATTTCATTTTGATTTCACGTATTAACGTGTTGGAGAGGCAGACTTTTTTCCAGTAATAAATAACACTGCACATCTAAGGTTGCTATCGTGTAAAATAAAGAGAAGAGAGATAAGTATCAAATGATTTCGAATATGTAGAGGAAGAGGCCAAGTTGGTCATGTTCTTTGCGTGCTTCTCTTTCACATACTCCGTAATGGAGAGATTCAGTTTAGACTTCTAGACCTTAGAACCAAGCTGACAAGTGACAGGAAGTAAGTTACTACTAATAGGTAAAGAACATGCTGATTCTCTTCATTAGAACCTCATGGTTCATTAAAAAGAAGTCACTGTCTCTAGAAAAGCAGTGGAAAAATACTTAATCTCTTCCTTTTGATGGAATCTGGTCACAGAATAAAGCATTACAGTTAAGTCCGAACCGAGTGTTCTAGATGTTTAAGTATCCTGAAATAGCAGCCCAAGGTAGTCATTATGGAATGAAGTTGACTTTAGGAATGTCAGCATTGACCTCTCCGTGCCACCATTGCTCAGCTAAGCATAAATTGCCATTCTTAAAAAAGAAACCAAAAAAGCTCTCTAAATGAGCATGGGGAAGAAAAGCTCCCACCCAGAAATTCTAGTAATCTGTAGTTTTTGACCTGTTACCGCTTCCACGTGGGGTTTCTTTTCAGCTTTTAACCACTGGAATTTTCTACCTGCTATTGTTCCTCTCTGGAAAATATCTGTTTGGAAATGCTGCCTTTCAAATTTCTGCCATGGTTATCCATACCGTTGAGTTTGTTGTTGTTGTTCAAGAAGTGTCCCCATTTTATAACTTTATGCACACACCTGGCAAATCATTGACATGAGCATTCAACAGTACTGGGGGTGGGTGGGGTGGGGCAGGCGGGGCTCACCACCAGAGCTGGCCCCATTGGCAATGCCTGAAAAGGCACTCCTTGGGAGGACCAGGTGTGAGGTTGGTTAGCACGGTTATGAAAATTTCTATCTAGCCTCCGTTTTGAATGGTTTTAAGAAATTTTGTATATGGAGGATGGAAATGCTTATATATTTATTGAATCCTTTTATCTTATTTGAAATTAAAACTGGTGAATAACGGTTTGATATTTGGGGAGGGTTTTGGAGGGGAAGTAATGCCGCTGATAAATTAAAAGCCTTGTTGATTTTGCAGAAAGGTACTGTTAGTGTCTGATAGGATGCCTTTGTTTTTGTACATGATCCACATCTTTGTTTTACATTTCTTTTATCCAAAATATTGAGGCATCTGACATTTTTCAACCAAAATTTCAATTACATACTGTGATTTTTATTTGTTGCAATACATTAAAATTTCAGAGGTACTTTGGGGCTCAAAAGCTAGGATTTCTAAGTATGTGCATTTCACATAATAAAGCTGTTAATGGTGAGCAAAGTATTATATACTAACTAGATTTTTCCACATCTGTATAGTATATTATATGTATTTTGTGGTATTGAGATTATAGAAAGTTTAGAGTGTCAAACATGCGTTTAATGTGTATTTTTAAACAAATTTATGGCAATTAAAATATTTGGAGACAAGGGTATCACATTTCAATTTGTAAAGATCTTTTTAACTCTACTGTGTCATTAAGATGCTTTGTATAATGCCAAACCATAGCTGGAGAAACTAAGTTTAATAAATATCAAATAGATTTTCTGTATTAAAGTTTATAAACACTGTGCTCTTTAAACTTCTTCAACTCTTACTTTGCCTTTTCAGTGTAATTTCTGCTTTGTACCTTAGTGCCCACTGCTACTCTACCTGAAAAGTCTGGACCCCCAGTCCAGCTCTCATTTCCTGATTACAGAAATTCTGAACTTGCTGGCCATGCGTCCTTCTGCATAGATCACAGTTCTCCCTGCTCCAGCAGAAATCTCAAAAGAAGTCTTTTTCTGCTGTTCTTGGGGGCTTGGGCTTTTACTGTTTTATTAAACTAGATTCTTCTTCCAATTCTGCTTTCTGTTCAGTCCTAGACAGACTTGGGCACATCATCAGGTCGCAAATGCCAGCACTGCCCATCTCTGACACCTCACTGGAGAGTCCTGACACGGAGTGAAGGGCCAGGATCCAGGGCCATAGCTCGTGAACTTGCCAAGGCTGATCATGTGGCTGTTAGGAAACTTCCGTCTTTCAGCCTCTCATCGTGTTCTTTGTTTCTTAAGTGTTCACTTTCACCGCACTTTGCAGGTTGAGAAGTCTGCTATTGGGCAATGCTGGGATTTTTTCTGTAGCATACAAAATGAATCCTTTTCAAACCCTCAAAAGCTTGAATTCCAGACTATGAAAATTTTGAGGCATTTAATAATATACATAGAAAAATAAACTCTAAACTGATAAGTTTAGTAATGCTTATCTACATAACATTCTAAGAAGAAACGGAGACCAGTTTAAAGCATACATCTGTCTTTAAATATTAAAAATACAAGACTGCTTCACTTAAGTGTCTCCAGCCAAAATGCAGTTCATCAATATTCCATAGAACGGAGCATTGTTGTAGGTGAGCGCTGTCCTCTTTTCCCCTGATTTGTACATCATTCCTGGGCCACACTTAGGGAACAGCGTCTTTTTCTAAAGGAAAAGAAAAGGTGGTTTTTACGACAAAGATCTAGCAGTGCCCAGAGCCAGCCACCTCTTCCGCATTTCCTTCCTCTGCTTGTTCTATCCAACCTCAGGGTAAACTGCAGAAAGCAAAGGCACCACTCTTTCGTGGTACCTGTGTGGAGCTGTTCTTGGTTCTTGAATCCTGAGGGATTCTCCAGGGAGCTCCGGGCTACAGCCCAGGCAATCGCCTATTCCACTTTTATTCTTAGGTAAGTGTGTGTGCTGATCTTTCCTCGGCCCTGCTCTCAAGTTTTGTGGAATACCTGCACAACATCGTGATACACTCGGAATCGTCCCGGCAAGAGGATCCAATGGGCCTGAGGGAGACCCCTCTCCAAAACGGGGTCATTCTCCGTAGCCTTCTCTTTGTTGAACTCAGTTCCAGTATGGGGGAGCCATCTACCTGTAGGGCAGAGACAACCTCAGGTATCGAAGCGTTGATCCCCTTCTGCACACCTTGGGAGAATGATCACCCCCAGGACGCTGTAGACTCGAGGGCAGAGGGACCCTTCCTCAGGGCTGAGTCCCGTTCTCAAGTTCTTATGATTTTCCCACCAGCACAATCCCCGCACATCCACTTCCTACCTGGTTCAACAGCAGCAAGCAGATCATGAGCACTGCAAAGAGTTTGAAGTGCCACATCTTGCCGGAGGGAGGTTGTTGGAGCCTGGGATCCAGCAACAGTTCCCACTTGCTTTTATAGACTGAAATTCACCTCTTTTATGGTTGCCAGGTGAGATGGGGCAAAGTTTGTATTTGCAGTCAGGGTCGATTTAATAAGTTAATGTCTACCAGAGGAATGTGCTCAAGGCCTGCCTTTCAGGCACGTTGTATTTACTGATCCCTCACCTGGACTTTATGTTGCTGGCTTGGACCCTTTTACCAAAAGTCAGCACCACCCTCTCCTTCCCTTTGAAAGCCACGTGAAGCCACTGAGGGAAACCAGGCACCTAGCCACATTTTGATTCCAAAATAGCTCAGTGAGATCACTATAATCAATAGAAGTCTCATAATGAGGTCTTCACGTTGACCCCTCTCAGCCTTGTCTGGGAGAGGCACCAATCTATTGTATTACAGGCAACTGGATAAGGCCCTCACCTCCCTTCTGTGGGAGGTTCTTCAGCAGGTGTGATGTAACAGTGCCCCAGATCCCCCTTTTGTATAGATGGCCTGCCCTCCTAGTTACCTGCTCCAGATCATCTCCCTAGAAGAATGGACCCAGCTGTGGCAAGTTCAAAGTCTGGCCTACCTGCCTTCTCCCAGAGGAAAGGCAATCAAGACTGATGTGGGACTTACCTGAACTGTGGGTGAATTGAATGAGTATAGGTTTTTTTGTTTTGTTTTTAAAAATTGTGAATGAGGAGTTAGCAGGGGCTCCTAAATCAGTGGGATTGCTTGACGATGGTGACAAATCACACTGCAATCCCTGAATTCTGGGCTTTCCTCGCGGTAGTTGACTGGGTCCCTCTGCGGGGCAGAGCCTTCCAGCAGCCTCAGGGGAGCAGGCCTAGGGCTGAGATACCACTAAAGCCCAAAACATCCATCAACTTAAGCAGAACTGCTGCAAATTGCTAGAACAAGAAAGGGCATGTACCTAAGTCGTGAGGTGTTGTGGCTACTCATTAAATGATTTGGGGGAAAGGTGTAACTTTTGAGTAAGATTTATAGGACTTCAGATCTTCCTATGACTGGGAGGGGTGAGCCAACAAGACAAAGGTAACAAGATTATTTCTCTGACTGGTGTCTCCGTAAAAACGTGGCTGATACCTCTTCCCAAGGCCCTTACCATCGTCGGAGGTCGGATATTTGGTTTGAACCTGTCTGTTCCGCAAGGTAAAGCAGAGGAGATGAGGCACAGCTGAAGGTGGAACAGGACGGTTGCCAGTCCTCTCGTCAGGGGAGAAGACGGTGGTGAGGTGGGCCTAGGAACTGGGACAGGGGGAGAGAGGGGTGTGACTCCACAGATCTGTCTGTCCTGGTTCTGGGCCATTAAGGATCATGGAGCCGAGCCCAGAGGGAGACACGGCTGCTTGCATGTTAGGAACATGGAGAAGCAGGCTAGTCAGCTGCTCCTTCCCTTTACCCCTGAGCTGGGATGTTGAATCACCCCCACGTAGGGGCTTAACTAGGAACCTTTGTGGGGTGGGGAAGAAACTATGTGATGACCTAGTGAACATTGGGTAAGAACACAAACCCAATTAGATAAGCTAGAGACTGAACAACGTGATGTCCTAGAGACAGTTGGGTCTGGTGTGGCCTCAGTGCCAGCCTGCTCTTAAGAGAGGGATATGCCAAATGGGATTTGGAAACTTCTAGTTCCAAACATCGGCACTTTCTCCTAATCCTCCATATCTGCCTTCCTGTGCTCCACAATCAAATTAGCCTTTTGTGTTAATTTAATATATAGCCAGTACCCTAGCCAAGGAAAGGGCCTGAGGCTCCAGTGTGCCTAGGGGAAAATGTACCATTCGTCATCATGAATGGGACAACACTGCAGAAGCCTTTGGGGTTTGAGCCTCTATCTTGTGTGCCACCCTCCTCCCAGAAGGAAAAACCTGTTAGTTACTGCCCGTGGAAGGAACCACTGTTAGGAAAAATATTTCTTTCGTTGTTGCTGTTGTTAGAGGCAGAGGGAGAAGCACGCTTCCCGCCGAGCAGGGAGCCCGATGTGGGGCTCGATCCCAGGACCCTGGGATCATGACCTGAGCCGAAGGCAGACGCTTAACCGACTGAGCCACCCACCCAGGCATCTCAGGAAAAGTATTTCAACATATGTCTACGTTACCTTCGTCATTATTTTAAATCAACCATGGAGCAAAAGTCAAAGTTTTTTTTTTTAATTTTTTTATTTGCGAGAGAGAGAATGAGAGACAGAGAGCACATGAGAGGGAGGAGGGTCAGAGGGAGAAGCAGACTCCCTGCCGAGCAGGGAGCCCGATGCGGGACTCGATCCCAGGACTCCAGGATCATGACCTGAGCCGAAGGCAGTCGCTTAACCAACTGAGCCACCCAGGTGCCCAAAAGTCCAAGTTTTAAAAGCGAAGTGGCATGCAGACGGCATCAGCTGAGGGGGACAACAGTCGTCCACAGCCATCCCACGGCCCTCGAATAGTTGTGAAATCCTATTCCTGAAATTAATAAATGTAAAAAATTTGTGAGTTCTCTACAGCCAAGTATTTTGCTGAATGAGTAAACACACAACTACAATGCCTTCCTCCAGCAGAAAGGTCTGAGCAGCCTTTACTCATTTCCGCCATAAAGAGAACGCCTGGCCGGGAGGCAGGAGCAGGGGGTCTAGGGTAGCTGACCACAGCCCGGCCCCTTCCCTTGGAGCTTTAGTCTCTTGTTCTCCCAATGAGATGGGAGTAGATCTGAGGCCTCTCAGCCGCTGACATTTGGGGGTTCAAATGATTAATTTACAGGAAGAAAATGAGAAGCTTGTTTGAGAGCTTCTAGCTTGGTAACTCTACTACAAGTCCCAGGGACTTTCTGCCGCTGAGCTATGGGCACAGGATGCAATGGGAGAAAGAGGGTGTAGCCACACGAGCAGTTGGAAACACATTCCAGGGGGAGAGGAGACCATGAAGGCCTGGAAGTAACTGGAGACTTTTTTGCTGTCCCTGAGCAGGACGTGCCTAATAAAAAATGAAAGACTCTGAAATGGAAAAACTTCCAGGGTCAAAGTGTATTTGCTTTTCTGCCGGCTGTACCTGGCACCAGATAGGCCTGCGTCTCCGGGACTTGGTTGGCAAACCGGAGTTCACTTTGCCACACTGTACAGCGCAGAGATAAAAGCCCTGGTCGGGGCAGGGCCCTGCTGAGGAGAAGGGCCAAGTGAGTAAGTAAGTGGCTGTGCCCTGGAAGCAGATGAAGGCGCCACACCCAGGGCTGGAGGCTCCACGTGGATGGTCACAGGCAGTGGGGCCCGCAGCAGTGGTCCCTTTCTTCCTTGAGAGACTTCACCCCAGTTTTTCTTTTCTTTGTGGACTTCGGCAGATATAATGGTCCCTAAAATCATCCCAGATCCCCTAACACAGAGCACTGAGCTAGACAGCTCACCACATTCCAGCCCCCCACCTACCTCAGCACCCTGCTACACAGGGCTCCGTGCCCCCAGCTTAGAGGTCAGCCCTTTGGTGCGAGACAGCCTGACGGCAGACTTTCGTAATTTTCTTCAAAGGCAGAAGCTCAGCAGGTAAAGGGGCTTGCTTACAGCGGGGTCTTCTCAGAGCACTCCTGGGATAAAAAGGATGCAGACCAGACGCGGTGCCTGGTCGGAGCTGAGAAAGGGTACATTTGCTTTTGAGCGGTTATCTCCAAGGAAGTCAAGGAACCAGGAAGAAATAAAGTCTTGGGGTAAAATGAAGCCAAGAAGATGGGAGAGGGTAGCCATCTCCCCGAAGCTCGGGGCTAGTCAGAGGGAGAGACCGATGAATGGCCTGTCAAGACAGTGGTTCTGCCCTGGTGCCCGAACCTGTTGAAACTATGCAGTCAATTAAGCATGTGCCTTCGGCTCAGGTCACGATCCCGGAGTTCCAGGATCGAGCCCCACATCGGGGCTCCCTGCTCAGCGGGGAGTCTGCTTCTTCCTCTGACCCTCCCCACCCCCTCAAGCTCTCAAATAAAATCTTAAAAAAAGGAAAAACTATGTGGCGTGAAGGATGGGTGGTGCATTCCCATCTTCAGGTCCACAGCTTCATCAAATTCTCAACAGTCTATGCCCCAAACATGCAGCAAACCCTCAGAACAAATACAGACGAAGAGCCCAGGAAAACTGGGCTCCACCATGTTGGGTGAGGCAGGAGTTTCCATCGTACAGGTGTCCTTTGTTAAGCTTGCCAGACTCCTACAGATCACTCATTCCACGATTCCCACAACCCTGTGGTTTTGTATTAACACGTCATCTTACCAACAAAGCGGTCAAAGCTCAGGAACGCAGGTTTCTTCCTTGTATCATACAGCGAAGCAGCACAGGTTAAAGAGTATGGGGCCTAAGTTCACCAGACTCAGAGGTTCTTTATCCTGCCTCCCAATCAATACAATTTATATTACCATTTTTTTGTTTGTTTTGAAGTATTTTAACTTCAGTTCCTAACAGACAAGAATAATCATTGGAATAAGAAAAAAACCCAGAAACTGAACCACACTGTGAAAGTTACTGCTCTAGACAAGCAGCAAATGTCCTTAGAAGTGAGGAAGTTTCTGGGCGCCTGGGTGGCTCAGTTGGTTAAGCGACTGCCTTCGGCTCAGGTCATGATCCTGGAGTCCCTGGATCGAGTCCCGC